TGAACCGCCTACCATTTATCAGCATCCTATTACTTGTAATATAGTACTTCCTCTGGATGATAGGCACTTCCTACAGATATATGAAGACTAAATCCCAACCTTAGAAAGTTCAAAAGTTCTGAAGAAAGACTGGCCAAACAACAGTCACACCAACTCTACAGGCAGGAAAAAAGCTCCAGTGTTCAATGCTTTAAAGCAGGTAAAACTGCCCTCTATTGTCCAGTGATCTTTCCATGCTTTTCAGTTTGCAGGACTAGAGGGAGTGATTACTGGTGTACTGGATGAATTCCCCCATGTCTGGAGCAAACGCAGGGAATTGTTTGTCCTTGGTCTGACCATCATTTGCTTTTTGGGGTCATTAGCAACCCTGACGTTCGTAAGTATTTTATCCATTCCTTGGCTTTCCTTACTGGCAGGTTCCTGCAAATGACATCTTGGAGAGGGTAGTATTTTTTGAAGAGAGTTCAAGAAATCAGACTAAATCTTCAGCCTGTTTTCTTTATGCACTACAAGTCTATATTTGGAATTAATGTGAACAGTAGCTCTCACTAGGAAACGTGTTGCAAAATGATCTTATTGCAGTTCAGCAGAACTTAATGTGCTACACATCACGAATGACACAGCTGCTGCTCCAACTGCTGCATCCGTAAGCAGACAACTTTCCACATTTTGTATGTGGTTTACTTCTTGTTCTCAAAAGCTCTATGTTTAAAAATAATATGAATTGTTATCTTAATTTTCACAATGTTTGAAATGTATCTTGAGTTAAAAAAAAAAGATAAAAAAATTACCTGGTAGAAAATGCTGTAATTGACTGTTGCTATCCTCCAAAAATTTCTAGCAATGAATTTCCTGGATCTTCCTCATCAAATCAGTCACATGAAATCATGATCAGTCACACCAAATAGTCATTGTGGGTCTTGTAGGATTTCATTTTGACAACATTTTGAATAATGAGTGTAATGATCATAAGGGACAAGGAAAAAATACTTGGCTTTGCCGTCATGTGTCACTCCACTTGCTCATTTATGCACAACTTCCTTCTCATTTAAAGCATTTGCTGTAAAAAGATACTCTGTAAAAAGGAGACTCTGTAAAAGCTCTTCTCTGAAACACAATGCTCTCCTCCTTCATCTGATTCTAGATCCCAAATGGAAAGAAAGCAGAGTAACTCCCTATTTTTTCCTGCTCAGTAACCATGACTCAGGTTGAAGAAAGAAGATGCCATCACGGCAGGCATGCAAAAAGCCATCCCATCAAACCCCACCAAATCTCATTCGTTCATTAAAATCCAGCTAGAACTGCCAGCAGATTCAGTTTTAGTTTTCTGCACGGTACCAGAGAGCAGATCGGCAGCATGCTTAAGGATTTCACTGGCAGGAACTGCCACAAAATGACAGAACTGACTGAATTACCCATCTGTGAATGCTCTGGTCCAGATGAAGGCAATAATAAACAACGGTATTACATGATTTCTGTCACTGGATCTTTGGTTCACTGATAATATGATCTCCTTTCTAGGGGGGTGCGTATGTGGTAAAGCTGTTTGAGGAATACGCCACTGGTCCGGCTGTCCTAACAGTCGTGTTTCTGGAAGCAATTGCTGTGGCCTGGTTCTACGGTATGTTTACTGCCATGTTGACAAACAATGCTAACCCAAACTCCTGAGCTTCTGCAGCATAGCATTTCCTCTGTTTCTTAAGACAAGATCACTGATGTCTCCAGAAAAAAATTTCCCAAACCTTTTTACAAACCCACCGATTACCAAATCCCTGAGAATTATTAATTGTTCTCTAACAGAAGCACAGTGCTGTCTAAAAGTAACAAGAGCTGTAATTCAGAAAAATTAAGGCTTTAATATAATTAAGAGTTACACAAACAAAAGAGTCCTTCACGATGGATCGGAATTTATTTGCTGCACATACAAAATGCTGTGCATCTACTTCTGAAAAACTTGTATCTGCTGTCACCGCTCTCCTCCCACTTGTCTCCACAGGCATCACCCAGTTTTGCAACGATGTGAAAGAAATGCTAGGCTTTACCCCAGGCTGGTACTGGAGAGTTTGCTGGGTAGCAATTAGTCCCATCTTCCTTCTGGTGAGTTTTCTCTATAGCTTTTTTCTTTCCAGCACATGAAAACTACCATTGAACAATGAAGCTACTTAGACTTCTAAAAGGTTAATTACAGAAGTTGCTTGTGAAGTTCTTTAGTAACAATTCTTGTTAAGCCAAAAAGCCTCAATTAGTGAAAAATCCAATACAACGCTGCAAGGTCTTGTTACTAAATCACTATTTTAAGGATTTTTGCAGATGAGCTAGATAAGTAATACTGGCTTCTGAATAATTCCCCTCCTTTCCTCTGCTGAACAAAGTCACTTTGTTTTGTTGCTTTATATTCACCCCAGAAAAATGAAGCCATAAAAGGTGATGATGAAACACACTCTCTGGGGAGGAAAACCAAGATAAGTAAATATACTGTCTCAGCAACCACTGACTGACAGCTTTAGAATATTCCACTTAAATTTTACTGCAGTTAAGTGCAACCTTTATAAATCCGTAATTCAGAATTGGAAATACTGTCCCAGTGTTTGACTTGGCAGTATTAATGATAACATTTTAACATAAAGTGTTCATTTCCTGATCCAAAATTAGCTCACGCTGTCTTTTATTGTTAAGAGCCTTAGTGGAAGCAGAGCAGGTCAAGATGGAGTTTATGAAGCACAGAATATAGATTGAAGACCTACAGAGAGAATTCAAAACACTTGTAATGATCAATGCATAATTAACAGGTTTCATTTTATTACCCCTGGAAAAAGAAGGGAAGAAAAGGCTATAAATAAAAGTGTGACACCACAAATAATTTTTATGCTGGTGTCCTCTCTGTGATCCTAAAAGAGTAAAATAACAGAGAGGAATACAGCTCTGGTGATGTGGTTACTAGGCAGAGCTATTTGCATTCTCTGTGGAAACTGAACTAAAATAAGGAAAGCCCAGAAGGTAGTATGTTATTTCTGTATGGAAATTGTGCTGGTAATCCTGATCTTCTGATGATATTCTGGAAAAAACGAAGTCAGAGAGCCTTCCAAGGATAGCCACAAATATTATTCCTGCCGTATTCAACTAAAAGGATTTGTCGTTTCACAATAAATTTTTCAGTCATGAAGGATATGCACAGGAAAATGATCTAACAGCATTAATCGAACTAAGACCAGAATACTATATCCAAACTAGTATTAACATTTGTAAAAGCTACTGAAGAACCGAAATGCTACAGAAAAGTATCAAAGAAAAGATAAAACTTGTAGAAAACAATCAACAGCAAAAAAAAAAAAAAAAGGAATCTGTTTAGATTGTCACAGAGAAAACTGAAAGCTGATATGATTACAACAGGTAAGTACTTTACCAGTATTTGAAAGAGTATTAAAAGGGTCTACAACCCAATAAAGAACAGCATAAAAAAACCAACACAGTGGCTGTGAGTTAAATTCAGACAAAGCAGAACTGACACTGATCATGATTAAATATGGGACAAGTAGCTAAGGGAACTGTACACCTCCCATTTCTGGTGTCTTAAAATTAAGATGATGCCTTTCTGGAAGGGATGCTTTAGCTGGAATCAAGTTATCAGTGTCAGTACACGGGTAACTGGATGAAATTCTGCACGCTTGAATCAACCAATCTGATTTTGTCCAGCTAACATCTTTTTATCCTTTAAATGTACAAGTGAGGTCTTGAATTTTCTCTCTAATGCTCCTTAAGCAAGAAACACCACGATGTATATTTATGGAATAAGGAAGCTGTATGAGAATTTTTACCTAGTTCCTTTCAGTTAGTTCCTAGTTGGGCTATACTCTAAAGCTCCTGAGCTGTTTTAAACTTCCTGAAGGAAAGTCTGGATATCCAAAAGTGGGTTTGTTTTTTTGTTTGGTTTTTCAAATCCATACTAAAGTCATTTAGCATTTTTCCACTGTTGACATGTTTAAACCTTCTCGAGTCCTACTAATATTTTTTAGTTCAATGCTATGCTGGGACACAGAGTTCCCTAAAGTAAGCGTGTGCCATCAAAATACGCGTATTCATTCTTTCCTCTCTTCTTTTTCAGTTCGTCACTTGCAGCTTTCTGTCCAATCCTCCTGAGCTACGGCTTTTTGATTATAATTATCCCTACTGGACCACAGTAGTGGGTTATTGCATAGGAACCTCTTCTGTCATCTGCATTCCAATCTACATGGTTTATCGGTTGATCATCACTCCAGGAACACTTAAGGAGGTATCCACGATGCTCTGTTGCTTCTATTTGACTGTCAGGGTGGAGCTGATTCCTAGAGAAATATTACGTGTAGATTTTTCTAGGGTCTGATGCGCTGGGACTTGAGGATTATTGCTGTTCTATTCCTAGCCAGCTGATAGCTAATTGTCTTCTGCCCATTCCAAGTGATTCACAAATCTCCCCAGGTCTTAGGGAGGCCATTGACATATTCATATAAAATATTAAATCAAGTTGTTTTTTTAAAGTTCTGGTGAACCGGAGGCTTTTCACAGAAATCACACAAGACACAGTATCACGTGAATGAGGCAGTGAAAGGTTGCTTCCCTTGGGTATGTCTGTAAGAACAAGTTTCTTTTTCTCTCCCACGCTTAATAAGATCACTCTGACATAAATCTGTGGCAGCCTGTGATGACATTTTGGGGATTTCTTCTAAGTTCATGTAAACACCAGTTCAGAAAGAGTATTTTCAGTTGGCTCAGGGTATCCAAGTAAACCGCAAAGTCCTAAAGCATTAATACGACATCTGTCAAACTTTGATTCAAATTTTATGTTACAAATAATTAAGAAATAACACTGTGTACTTCTATAGCACCTTATGTCTTCATAGAGCTAACAGAAGCCTGAAACATCCTTGTGTGGTTCAAGGGGTATAACTCAAACCAGAGTAATATTTTTATTACAAATCTCTCTCCAAATGGCTGCCATGTTGTATAGTATCTCTAAAATTAATCCATTCCTAATATTGATTTCTTTCCAACAGCGTATTCTGAAAAGCATTACTCCAGAAACAGCTACAGAAATTCCTTTTGGAGACATCCGTATGAATGCAGTATAAGCGAACCTGTTTTCTGGGGGGAGAGAGGGGGAGCATAAAATGCAACTTTCCCCATACTCTCCCCCCCCCAAAGAACTACATTTCCAGCTGAGACAACAAACGGAGGAGTTCTCTGTGGAGGTTGCATCACTGACAACAGGCATTTGGAAACATGATGCCTCCAGCACATTTATCCAAGCAATTCTTCTAACCAGACTGAACTGACTAAGAACTAACTCATTCTGGAAAAACGAGGATGTCTGTGTGCATGAGAATACCACTACTCTATGCGTGGACACTGGGGCTGTTTGAAAGTGTGCGTGATTGCATAAGCCACTATAGGACGAGTATCAGCGGGTAGGATTAGGCGTAGAATCCCAAGTTTGTGGCAGTACTCCTGTATCTTCCTCAATGTGATCGTTCGTACTGGGCAATGTCGTATTCGCTTCCAAGGTTCTAATTGCTTAAACTACATTGAAAAATACAAAAATATTTCTGATAGCCATACATTACTCAAGTAACACAGGGTTTTATAAGCTAGGAAAAAAAAATAGTAAATTCCCTAGGTTTGTAGTGGAGTAGACAGAGGAAGAGGAAACAATCCTGAGCAGCACTATATACAGCTCTGCATACGTTAGCACACACGTTTGGTAGAATTACCCTCCTTTTCATTTCCTGCATTTTGTAGATGGTAACGCTTTCTATTAATTGTTTCTTGCATAACAAATACTACAAAAGCATTTTTTGTAATGTTGTAGGCTTTACTTTCCTTTAGACCCAATCAAGCCACAAAAACTCATCATAGGTTACTTGACAAGTACCCAAGTTGCTAGCACTTTCTATACTGTTTTCATAACTTAAGCTAGACAGTCACAGCATCATTGTCCTGACAGACCTAACACACTCAGAGAAACTGCAGACCAATAATGAATTTTTTTTGAGTTCCGATGCCAAAAAGTGGAATCTTAAAATCTGCTTCTCTGCTTTGCTTCGGGTTTTTTGGTTGTTTTTTTTTTCCAATTTAATTTCACACCTAACATTTGTTGGAGCTGTGGCTTTTTCCATTCTTTCTTAGTATAGAACTAAAGTTTAGAATAATCCTTTTGGCTGGCTGACAAAAGTACATTTAGCAAACTATACAAAGCTACTTTGAAGATTTATTAGCTCATATTCTGATGTGAACACATTTGGTTTTCACCCTGAAGAAGAGACAGAGGGGAATTTTTTTTAACAATTCAGCAGGATTGATTCTCATCAGAACTATTTATATTAAATCTTGAGGCACTGATATACAAATTAACTTCCATGCACATTACTAACCTCTTCATATTGAATGCATGCATGTGCTCTCCAAACGTAACTGCCCTTCAGACTGACTGCAATTGTGGAGTCAGTTGGAGATCAATAGTTTTGCTGCAGTTACACGGAAGTTTAGATAAACCCAAGTAGGCATCATTTATGTAAAAACTTGCATTGTATTTTTACTTTACCACATAGATTATGCCAAAAGTAAAACAAAATAGAGGATGCAAGTCCCTCTTGTATCTCATGGTCTACATAGGTAACATACTACTAAAATTAACAAGGTTATATATGCATCCATAGCAGCAGGCATTAAGAAACCTACTGAAGAGTTTACGTCAGTAGGAAGAACTTACCATGTTAGAGGAAAGCAGTGATGGTGTGTTTGCCTTTTGAAAACATTTTCATCGCTTCCACCAAGGTTTTTCTCCTTAGTTGTGCAGAGACCTCCTGGAGGAAGGCCCCTTATGCTTCAGCTATTGACTTGAGCTCACTTAACTTTAGGTCTCAACCCCAACTTCCAATAAGGAAATAACTTAAAGGCACAATGACTGCTCTTTAGACCTACAAACAAAGCACTCCTAAACTGTTTTTAAAAAGGGAATACGTTCTTGCATTGCCACCAGAAAAACCTAGTAAGTCTGCCTTACTGGACAGTTACTCATAAGAAATAGTTTTGTAGCTTATCCCTCAGGTATATTTGAAAACTACTTCTAAAACTGGCTTCACTGTAAGGAAAAGAGGAACAGTTTGGGAATTCCTTTCATGTTAGAAAGCCACGCAGCTATTAAGTTACCACTCAGAAAATTACTGATTTTTTTAAGAAATTAAATGTTCTGAGTTCATTAATTGAAAAAAATACGTATGAAATGTCAATGTAAGATGAATGAGGTACTCCTATGTATCCAATATCAAAGTGTGGGAAATAAAGGAGAAAACCCTACCCAGCTTCTCCATTCTTCAGACCGGTGTTCAACTAACACTACATACGTTTCCTCTTAAATGCATACGTATTTATATAGATAAACCTTACAAATAGATTTTTTTTTTGCCAGACTTGATACTGTTTCATGCTAGACTTATTAAAACAAAACAAAAGCAACACCCCCCACAACCAACCCAAAACTTACAGTTCCGATTTTTAATCATTTACATATACCCACTTGCAAAAGCCTCTTTAAACAGACATTCCGCTACCTTTTATTAGGAAGGGTGAAGGTGGGGACAGAAACGGTTGCGTTAAATACGAGCATTATCTGTATCAAAGCCAAAGTTTCTCTTTCAGCCTTTGCAAACAAACTGAAACTGGGAACATTATTTCTAATGGAATAATTTGCAGAGTAATAATTGCGGAAATCACTGCTATTTGTCATGCAATACTACTGATCTTATTTTTTTTGTAACAGCATTTGAAATGGCGAAAGATTAATCTTTAATTCGTATCCTTTAAGACACTAATACACAATAGATGTTGTCTCTCTGGGTGGTTTTAGCACAGAATGCTGAGCAACTTCCCAAGAAATGCCACTGTTTTCTAGTGGATTAAAAATCAGCCAAGAAGCTCTGATATTAATACAGCCCTGCAACAGTCACGGTGTAAATATGGCAAGGTGTCTCAGCTTGAATTTCTCAGTTGAAAAATGAGAACGATACACTCTGAGTACAGACATACTGAGAAAGGTGAAAGGTTTTTTTAATTATTTAAAGATATAAAAAGCAATGTAGACATGCAAAGTCATGGGAAAAGTATTTTTAGAAATAGGCAGTCCAGAAGATCATTAGTGATGTTAAATCTCTGCTCTTTCCACCAGGATAATCCAGTCTGAGGTCTTTATGGGAACAAGGGGCAAGGAAGCCCTCCAGAAGTAGATTAAAAAGGCTTTTATTTTCCTGAGTAATACGAAGATAAAGTACATCCGTGTTTTCATTCTATAAAAGCTGAATTTGCAAGGCAGTTTAGTCTCCATTTTTTTTTTCCTATATGGCATACTCGTTTGAAGTTTTCTAAATCTTCTTATGATAAGTTCATTTTTTAGTATCTCTGTTTAGCCAAGTGACTGAAATAGAGAAATTTATTTCATTTATTTTTATTGTTGATTCTTTTTTTCTTCCTTTTACATATCCACCTGAAAACATTTAGAGTAACCAATATTTATCAGGTAGCTCAACAAGTAGCCATTTATTAAACGTTGGTTTTGTAGAAAAACTAGTTATATCGATACCAAATGGGCTGCACTGCAATTAAAAGTGTTTTGAGGCAAACAAATTCCTTCTCTTCAGCTCACCTTCTGCTTGTCTATCACACAAGTATATCCTACCCTCTATTCTGAACAGTGAAAAGGAATTTATGAAACTGGTAAATTAGGAACAGAGAAAAGCGAATTTGCTCTTTTAAGCAAAGAGAATTAAACTGGAGTTTTAGCTGTACAGAACTAAGTATTCCCTCCAACTTGTACATGATGCACCTGTATTAATTTATGTGGCTGTTTAGTTACAAGTGTTGCAAGCTGATTGTAAGTCATCAGTATGTGCCTTGTACTGTAAACTGTTATTGTAATAAATTTAATATTCATAATCCATCTGTAGATGTCTCTTGTACTTCTCTCTTATGGGAAGAACAAAGATAAAACTCAGTTCCAAAAAAAAGCAGAGTATCTAGTCCAGTTTACTACACCAACAAGGCCTCTGACAAAAAGCAGAGGATTTCCTTCAGTGTTTGAACCCTGGCCCACTGCTAAATACTCTTTTCATTCTATTCCAACAGAAGAACCGATGCACATTATATTTGTTTAGATGGAACAGCAAAACCAAACTCATCCACACTTGGAGTGAGTGCCTAACTACTCGACTAACTTACATATAAAACTCACTCCACTTCAAGTCTTTGTAAACTGGCAGGCTTGGCATTTAATTTTACTCACATTTTGCCTCATTACTAAGTCTGTTGAACAAAATATTACAGAAACACAAATCTCAAAATCTTTTTTTTTTTTTTTTTTTAATATTGGTTCACCTTACTGTAGCATAAAATTGATAAATTTACTACAAAACAAAGTGAAAGAAACCACTGTGAAAAGTGTTGAAAATGTGTTTGAAACACTGCAACCACTATCAGATATCCTACCTACTAAGTTATAGTTTGGAGATAAATTTATTCTAGATTATGAACCTTTGAACAGATTGACAAAACTAAAATATTACCTCCAGCAGAACAAGCAGATATGACTGTAATAGATGAAAAAGACTCATATACCTTATTTCACACAAAAAAGAGGGCGTAAAATAACGCATTAAAAAAGACCTACGCGTTAGATCCAGTATTTATCTTACACTTTATTTGTTTCTGTACATCAGGTCCCAAAACCAAAGCCCACACATAAATACAAAATTCTTACGTCAATATGCATTTAGCTTACAAAACGCCATACTACGTACAGAGATCTCCTAGATTATTACTCCTCAGGCTGTTTTTCTTGCTTTTTTCCCATTTTTACAGGTCTGCTGCTCATTTTTCAGAGCATCAGTGGGCAACAATGACTCATGCTAAGGCCTGAGAACACCTTTGTTTCAGCAGAGCTCAGTTTCAGCTGGTGAAAGGAGTAGGGGCTGCCAGGGGGAAGTATTCTCACCTTGCGTTGTTTAACGCTCCTAGGTCTGTCCCACAATCTTTGAAGTACCAAGGATAGGGTACTGAAGGCCAGGGTGGACACTCAGCCAAATTTAATATTTCAACTGTATAAACAGATAAGGGTGTGCGTCAAGGGATCCATTAATCCATTTCAGAAGTTGTTCTTCTACTATGGCACACATAATTTCTTAAACAAAAGCCAGAAATAAATAGCTAGGATACACTTTCACTTCTGTACAAGAGTCCATGCAGCAGTGGCTTCTCCTCTCGGTTGAGAGACCAAGTGTTTTTGTCCACCACAGGGACATTAATCTTCTTCCTTCTCAATGTAAGATTTAGTACTGACACGTGCCATTTGCCTTGCCAAATAGCGGTCCCTTGCTGACATGACTGTCTCTTCATTGCTCCGTTTGGCAAATTTGCTCATGCTCTCAGATGGTTTCTGTGCTTGTTCTTTCTCCTCTTTTTCCCCTTCTCCAGCTTTACGTTTCTGCTCAGACAAAATTCCAGAGCTGGATCTTCCCTTCTCATCCACCTGTCTCTCTTTTCCCTTTCTATCTTTTTCCAGATCAGTCTCTCCATCTTTTTCTGAAGATGTAGGAGTACTTTCCCTCCTCTCTCTGTATTTCTTTTCATCACGACCGTATTTCTCTCTCCTCTCCTTCACATGATCTTCCTTTTCTCTGTATTTCTCTCCTCTCTCCTTCTCTCTGTCATTATATCTATCTTTATCATTTCTTATTCTTTCTTTCTCTCGTTCCTTTTCCGAGACCTTCTCTTCTCTCTCCTTTGCCTTCCTCCATTCTCTGTCATGTCCCTCCCTCTCTTTTCTTTCCCTCCCCCTTTGTTTATCATCTTGCTCTTCCCTCCTTCTGTAGTTATCTTTATTAGTGTGATCCCCATATCTATGTCGCTCTTCCTTTTCCCTTTGGTGATCCTTTTCATGGGCCCTACTTCTCTTGTAATCTTTTTCCCTGCACTGTTCATCATTTCCCCTTCTGCTTGGTCTGGTCTCTCCCCTCTTTGTAAGGTGATTTGTTTGGGCTTTTGAGCACAGCTCTTCTTCCACACTGGATGAGCTTGGTGACCTGGAATGCCTCTGGCTCTTGTGATGTTTAGCCTCCTCTTCACTGCTCACAGAGCTCTCTCTCCTTTTCTTCTTTTTCAAATTTACTTTACTATTTTTGTGTCTCTTATCGTCATCACTACTATCAGTTCCTAAGTCGGTATCAGCATCTGGATTATTCTCTTTTTTAGCAGAGGGCTTTGGTCTTTGTCTTTCATATGGACATTTGTTCCTTCGGTTGGATTCATCATAACAACTGTCAGATTTTTCTTCCTTTATCCTACATTTTTTTATGTTAAAAAAGAAAAAACAACATTACACAGCCTGAAATCTCAGACTTTTCTACAAACTGACTTCTGGTCGGAACTTGACCAAAAGATGCTGCTGAAAAGTCTAAGAAAGCAAATCTATCTGTGGCTCAGGTTCCAGGCATCTAGTGCAAAGGATTCTATTAAGTATGTGTATCTGGTTCATTGGTGAATGCGAGCTGATGAATTTATCTAAAACAATGACTACAGTTAAGTATCTGTCGCCTTCATCTAAGGAGAAAGACATAGATTTGTATTCCTGTGTAAGCTTTTTTGCAAGCTACACATTTTTTCCTATGTGTTTATTCCTCTATTCACATCAAATAATTATCCAGAAAAGCAGCAGGTTGTACGTTTCGTTGACAGAAGTAGGAACATAGCTTCCATTATTATTAGTAGTAGATTTTTTTTTAATCCAGTATTTCTGAAGATCTCGCTCTTGTGGTTAGACAGAAATGAGTATCTTTTTTAACAGTTCATAGATTCTTAAACACAAAAAGCAGACCCATGGAGGATCAATGTGAGCAGTAGACAGAACGGTTATGCTTTGTCATTCTTTTCTGACTGATAAGGAAATGCATGTTTACTCACACAAGCCCCATGTCTCTTCTTTCTAATCATACAGCTACAGTCTGTGGTAAATTCTTATGAATCAGCACACCACCTAGTTAGATTGAATGCTTGATACATGCTTGAAAGCATGGTTGGTCTATGAACAATGAGTAAAAATTATGCTGAAAAGTTTGGTAATTTATTTAGTAATCCAATTAATTAAAATGACAAGTCAAAGTGGATCACACTAGGGACAAGTGATGCAAATTCTGAGATCTAAAAATCAAGCTGTTATCTCTCTGCATCCTATTGTACCACCATAAGAAAGAATAAAATTAAAATATAGACTTCAGCTTATTTGAAAGCCTTGCTGGGAGCACCATCTACAGTACTACTTGTTTTCTCCTGAATTAATTTTATATAAAACTCACAAAAGGAACACTTCCTTAATTTCCAGTATTAAGAAACCATCATTTCAAATGATGACTCTACACAGTACAAAACTACATCTTCCTGAAGACACTCTGAAAGAACTATTAAAGCAAATGGACAACCAAGGGTGCTGACCACTACTGCTACTGTTTTTATAAAGAGATGCAAGTGAATAAAACCTAGATTTCATCAATAAAAAGAAGAAACCATAAAATGCAAAAGTCATTTAACCACCTCAGTAGCAATCTTTGTGCACCACTGAAACCAGGCAGGTATTTCTCTTTGGTGAAAACCTGAGACAGGATGTTTTTCCAAACACATAGGTATACTAATACTTTAAGTCTCAAATGACAAAACTGTCGCCTCAAATTTCCCATTTTCTGCTTAAACTCAAGAAGCTGTTCTGCTTTTCTTCCACGCATTAATTCTTACTTCCTATTTCTTTTACACTACTTTTCCCTATTTACTTCCAATAAGCTGGCATAACTTTATACTAGTATAAAGACATGATCAAGAATTCCCTTATTTCAGATAGCTGAGTAACTTCACTGTGATCACATTCTTCATTTAAGCTAAGAATTTACTTTCCAATAATCCAATCTCAGATCTAGAAGATCTGTTGACGAAAGCTGCATTTTCTTTGTGATGGCAAGTGTTTAACTAGTGATATCCAGGTTTAAGGTCTACCTCAAGTGAGGTTTAACCTGAATTAATTGTTTCAAATGATCAGTTGTTGCATATAAGAAACACAGCCACTTCACACCATATTTATCCACAGGGCAGAATTTCACCGTCTCAACTACAGAAATAATTCAGCCTCATCTCATTGCTTTGCTTTGGAATGTGCATATATTAAGATTTTAAAATATTCCCACTGTGTTTCCTATATATTTGATTAATTTCCTTTTACCACAGCACCAACACTCAATTAATTTATTTTTTGTGAACCTGTAAATGTGGAATAAATACAAAGTTAGAGACCCACATTCTTTTCAGGAAATTCCTATCACAACGTCATTTCCTATGACTTACCTCCATGCCCATTATTTCACCCTTTGTCTCCCTCATGATTCAAAATATGTAACTTAATACAGATTGCCATATATTAGGTTAGAATAATACCAAGCAGTATTGCAAGTATGACTGTCCTCTTGATACTTTTAAAATGGCATCCCTGTCCTGCTTGTTTCTGTCTCATAGACAATCATTAGACATTTTCCAAATAATTCAGTTAATCAGATGTATAAAGTAATCAGCTTAGCCTACCAGTGGTTTAGTAGTCTCTGCCTAACTCTTACAGTGTTCCAGTGAGTCTGGAATCACCAACAACCAGAAGCTAGTTTATATCTGAAAGACTTCTGGAATTGCATCCTACCTGGCTTCACGGAAGCTGCATTTAGGCATCTCTTCTTCCCCTACCCTCTGGTTTAAAAGGTGTCTGTAAAATCCACTGAGATCCTTCTGTTTGGTCACATCCAGGTACGCTAAGAGAAAGAAAGCAAGGTTGGATTTACTGTGCCACAAATAGTCACCAGACACAACTCACAATTGGTAAAGACACCACCAAGACTGCCTGTCATGGTTTAGCCCCAGCCAGCAACCAAGCACCACGCAGCCGCTCGCTCACTCCCCCTACCCCGATGGGATGGGGGAGAGAATCGGAGGAGTAAGAGTGAGAAACACTCCTGGGTTGAGATAACAACAGTTTAATAATTGAAATAAAGTAAAATAGTAATGATAATAGTAACAATATTATAATAATAATATACAAAGCAAGTGATGCACAATGCAATTGCTCACCACCTGCCGACCGATACCCAGACAGTTCCCGAGCAGCGATCGCTGCTCCCCGGCCAACCCCCCCAGTTTCTATACTGAGCATGACGCCATATGGTATGGAATAGCGCTTTGGTCAGTTTGGATCAACTGTTCTGGTTGTGCCCCCTCCCAGTTTCTTGTGCACCTGGCAGAGCATGGGAAGCTGAAAAGTCCTTGACTAGTGTAAGCAGTACTTAGCAACAACTAAAACATCAGTGTGTTATCAACATTCTTCTCATTCTAAATCCAAAATACAGCACTACGCCCGCTACTAGGAAGAAAACTAACTCTATCCCAGCTGAAAACAGGACACTGCCATCTCCATCCTGGAAGTTTTCAAGCCCAGAGTGCAAAACACTCAGAACAACCTGATTTGACCTCAGAGCAGACCACGCTTTGAGCAAAAGGCTGGAATAGATGACCTTCAGAGGTCTACTCCAACCTGATTAATCTTATGATCCTATATCCTGTTCTTTACACCTATTCCTGGGACACTGTACAGAATGCCTGAAGTAAGGAGTGTAAGCATCATTGTACCCCAGGCTTATGAGTCTTAAAAATTAAAAGTAGCAACCCAGATAGTACTGACACACAAACAGAGGAGCTTCCTCTGTTCCTTTAGTAACACGTACGAAGGAAAATAACAGACAAAGCGGGACCTGATTCAGTATCTGCTATCTGGTCCCTTTTGATTTTAATTATCTCAAGCCTCACGGAGAGACCAGCTCACAATGTTGTAAATCATGTACAAGGCCATACTTCTTTTTAAGAGGAATTATTTCAGTGTGAATCTCACCCTCGAGAGCTGCCTCTCTTCTTTCTCTTTCCTCCTCCTCAGCCCTTTCTTGCAGCTTCTTCTTATAGGCTGAAGTCACAAAAGCCTCTTTGTGAGCAAACTCTCCTCCTTCCATTTCACGCTCTTTCTGAATTTTTCTTTCCATTCTTTTTTCTTGCTCCTTCTTTCTAATCTCAGCTGCTTTGAGGATATTTTGGATGTATCTGGGCTAAAATAGGAGGGAAAAAAGGTATCATGCTGAGAGGTAATTGAGGTGGCTGAGAAAACACAAATTGGGATTGATGGAGATGTTGAAGAAAGTTGGTAATGGAAGAAAATTGTCAGAAGATAGTCTAACACATTCTCATACTGTTTGACAGCTATTTGAAATACACTGTCATTCCCTTTTAGATCACTAACATGGCATGCTTCCCAATAACAAAAGAGGCTGCTGTATTCAATCAAAACATTCAGCCCATCTTTGACTAGGATGATTTTTGCTCTGAGTGAAATTAATTGTTTTTTAATTTCTCACCCCTCTCTCTTCTGTCTTGTAATACTCTTTCCTTTCTATTGCTGTAAAGGAGTGGGAAGCTTTCTTTTATACCCACGTAACCTGACTAGAGCTTTCAAATGAAACAGAATAAGTAACAATGAAAATATCACTTGTCAGGGTAATTCAACAATGCTCTGAAACAAGGCACTGGGCTGTGGAAATTGGCTCGCATTTCACCAGTGTAAGTTAATTATTTCAGTCTTCTAACAGTCCTCCAGTAAGCACACTCGTGAGTGAGGAGGGACGATTTAGGTTCACTGGCTTAATAACCAAAGAGTCTTTATTATCAGAAGTAGTATGCTACAGGGCCCACTGCTTCTAATCCTATTATCCCACTGTAACATTCTCTTCAGAAATACACAGAAAGATATGCTACATGTACATCATAAATCGGATGGGAAACTTGCAGTTTGCCACCCTCCAGAATACCACTGGATCAGGACTCTGGAGTATCTGATGAACTAATAGTTTTGCCAAAATTCTTGCAAATTACTACCTTATGTAACAGGATTTGTGCACAATATTTGCATTCCCCATGAGAAAATGCATTTGGCAAAGCTTAAAAGTTAATCGTAGTTATTCCAAGCATACAGAGATAAGACGGAGAGCATACATTTTCAGGTATCGACCTTTTTGTCATCTTTTCCAGATAACACTCTGGCATTACTTTCTTTCTTCTTTTGCTGCATTTCATCATAAATACTGTCATATTCGTACACTGTAGCATCTTCCTCCAAAGCCTTCTGAATCTCCAATTTAGTCTAAAAGAAAAAAAGAAGGGAGGAGAAGAAAAGACACCCAAAAATTAAGCAGGAATCTTTTACTATGAGCATACATTTTCAGGTATCGACCTTTTTGTCATCTTTTCCAGATAACACTCTGGCATTACTTTCTTTCTTCTTTTGCTGCATTTCATCATAAATACTGTCATATTCGTACACTGTAGCATCTTCCTCCAAAGCCTTCTGAATCTCCAATTTAGTCTAAAAGAAAAAAAGAAGGGAGAAGAAAAGACACCCAAAAATTAAGCAGGAATTTTTTACTATTTTCAAATATTTTATTCCTATATTGTAATTTAAACAGATCTATAGTATAAACCTATCCATTAGAACATTGAGTGTAAATAAAAACCAGTCTGATCTACAAAGTTTTTGAACTGTTTATCAGTATTGAGAAGAACAACCAAATCATCACCAGTATTTGCAGTTATAGGCAATACAGGAAGCAAAGCACAACAGTCAAAACAATACTGGAAACTTCTTAATGAGCAAACTGTTCCATCAAATAACATAATTCATTTTTTTAATAAACAGTAAACAACATTTCAATAAATTTTACTGTCTGTTTTCATCTATAGTTTATCCCCCTTCCCAAAGCTCCAAATAATAAATATGTACCAATATAATTCAGGATATGATTGCATATTTCACAGTTCTATCTTCTGTTTGTACAGTCAAGTTGGAAGTAAGAACTGTGAAACCATGCAGTTTTTAAAAGCCCCATCAGAAAAAAAACAACTAGGGGAGCCCTTGTAGTAGCCGTTGTAGCCCCCTTCCTGACAACAGAAGAGGAATGTTGAATGGCAGCCATACAAGTTTCTCTCAAGCACATATTAACTCCATCAAAAAACAGCAATGTGTTAAATATATGATGCATAAATATCTTCTTCTTCTAGCTATGTTTTTTACTGGTCTGGAACTTTTTAAAATGTAAAATTAATGTTTTCTCTGTACAATTTATTCCTTGATTACAGGAAAAGGCTCACTGTTGGTATATATTTACAAACCCAATACTTTGTAACATAGTCTACAAATTAAACAAACTGTTTGAAAAATTTTAAAACATCAATGCATTCAATGCCACAAAACAAACTTCAACATCTTGAGTATTCAAGTGTTTGCATTGAGTAATCAGAAATTTTATTGTGTTTTAAATTATGACCAGCTCTGTGTTAAACCTCACTCATGCAGCTTTCATTGGGCAGTTTTTCAGCTACTCTGATCATAGCCAGAAGAACTTCAAAAACAACAATCTTGCCCAGAAAAGTGAAACAAAATCTTTGCTAGAGAAAAGGCTCCGAGAATGTCAAGTCAAGTTTTAAAGAAAGTTTCATGCTGCAAAGAGCAATGCACAAAATAATAAATTACGTGCCATTTTTTTGAAGGGTAACTCTTACTGTGAATTTGCACAATTATATTTCTGCAATTATTTAATAGAAGAGAGTGGATGCAGTAATTTCCTAATTTGCCATGGGCATGAAGAGTTCCCACTGCATCTTACCTGTTTCATTGCTTGTTTTTTCAATGCTTCTTTCTGAAGACTTTCACCAACAGACGGCTATAAGAAGGAAACGTTGCAGAAATAAAATTAATTACATTGACATAGCTCGTATTATTTTTCTACCATTCTAACGAACAACTATATAATAGTCCCACTACATAAATCAGTCTCTCACTTCAATAGTAGTATTCTGTAAGCAAGAAAAACTAAAAGTTCATTCACAAGCATACAATGAATCCTCCTTTTCCATGAGCAAAGTATTGCAGTACCTGGATATATATACGTATATGTTTGGGGTGTTTTTTAATGAAAATGGTGATGGGTTTAAGAACACTGTTTCAATGATGTGTACCTCAAAAGCTGCATAAAATTTCATGCCATTTCACAGAACAAGCAATCTCTGTCCAAGAAATGCTTCAGACATAGGAGGTCTGTGAAAACTGTTTAGTTGCAATGCCTTCCTCCAACCACTGCCGAAAAACTGGTAGAAAAGACATACCCCTCCACTATGGTAAGGGTCAGTCTGTTGGTGCAAGAAGCTAGCACATCAGCAGGCAAGGACAGCTAAAGCCAGTACTGAAACAAATTCCTAACAGAAGGATGCTTGTAATACATCTACTCACTCAGAAACACTACAATTCTTTCAGGTTTTGCCATAAAAAAAAGAAGAAAAAAAGGAAAACACAGAAAACAAACTCCCCAAGTCAACAGGAATTGGAATTATAACCCCCTACCAATTTATGTATCAAAAACGTTTTAATGTTCTTGGGAATTATGTGTTTGCGAATAAAGAAGGATAAATATTCTCAATTATTTGTTAACTATATTTCTAATAGTCTGTGAAATAGATATGTGCTATTCAGAATATACATATTCTTCTTCCAGCATGTAAATGTCATCAGAGATGTAGCAGTCACGAGCAGACATTCATCACATGAAAAAATGGTATTCATAGTAAAAAAACCAAATATCTGAAAGGATGTGGCGCTTATTTCAAGTATGATCTGTATCATTAGTTCCATATTTTTTAAAATAAGAATACTACTGATTTGAACAGCATGTAATTCAAATGATGTTTAATTTTTCAAGATTAATATGCTAGAAAATAGCAATACTAATCTTCCATAACAAAAAACATATCCACTACTGAAAACATGTTCTCTAATCATGCTGTCTTTTAAAAAAATCTTTGCATTTTATTTAGTTTTCTTTTAATTAGTGTTGAACTAAACTGCTGTCTATCTTTTCTCAACGAATAGCTGTTTATTAAACAGATTCACTATACATGACAGGACTCGTATCCTTGTTTATGTAATTAAGTATCTCTTAATCTTAAAAAGCAGAAATAGGAAGGAAAAAATCTTTTTGCATTTTGGCAGCTTCCTAAATGTTGCAACATTGACTAATATATGCTCTATATCACATTCTAAAAAGACAAAGAGACTGTGTAATCAGTTCTTAAGAAAATTTAAAAATGGAAACCAACTAGGAGCTTGGCAGCAGGGACTAGGATCTTCTGAAATCAAACAAAATTAGCACCATGTAAATTCAGTCAGATCCCCTGAACAAGAAGGTTTTTGATTTCATTTGATGTGTAAAATAAAATATGTTGTGACCTCTCTTTCTTATGCTATTAAAATTTTAACAGATGTGTCAACAAGGAAAAAAACAAGTGCTTTTCCACAATTTTCTACATGACAGACTATAAACGGTCCCAATATTTTTCACTGGTTCATTTCAGAAACAGGCAACAAGTTGTGCCGTGAGCGGCAGAATTAATGGAGTTTCATTATATGTGACTTTGTGCCCTCTGTCTCTATTTCCCCTATCGCCTCCTCAGACACCCTGCCTGCTTGTTTTGGCAGGTGGGCAACACTGTGTGTGACCAAAAGCTAGGCCTGCGCTGAGCAGTCAGTCAACACTTCCTCCTCAACACTGAGAAAGATTAAAATCACCAACTCTCATCTATGTCTTTCCCTTTACCCAGCTGCCAATTCTCATGAAGACCGCAGGAACGCAGTATCTTTGGGACCCCTGCCACCCACCAAGGACAGTTAAGATTGTTAGTGAGTTTACAAGTCGCATGGGGACTAAGAGGTACACACAGTGATCACCTCTAACAGATTTTTTTCTGCTATGCAAAACATAAATAATAAAAAGACTTGCAAGTTTCTGTGCAGCTGTAAAAAAAAAAAAAAAAAGCCAGAAAGGTAGTATCTCAGAGGAGTACCAAGTCATTCTAAACTCAGCAAGAGAAGGTGCTAAGGCAACACTGTCAATATTCAGAGAAGTACATATGGTATCACATAATAGCATCCATTGAATTCTAGATACTCAGAACTTTGCTCACTTCCCATAAACATGCTAGGACTTACTTTTGTAAGTAATACTACAATCGGAAAAAACTGAGACATGGAAGAGTCAAGATATTCCTTCCTAGCCCACTCCAAGTGAGGTACTTACACACAAGTCAAAAGGGGAACTTGAAAGGGCGCATATTCCAACTTTTTCTGGTGCTTTAATTGCTACACGCAGACTTATATAAAATCCATCTCTGTTTTCAAAATGTTAAACCTTGTGGTTAAACTACAGTAATAAAGGGAAAACGTGATGTGCACTTTCATGGAAGAAAACCCTGCGGTGCTTCAGTTATGCTCCTCACGAGAAAGCAGCCTCTCCCCTGCCCAGCCGCAGATAACCAGGTAAGGACGCAGACCAGGCTTCAGGCTTCGGAAGCTGAGCTTGGCAGACACGAGCAACGCACTCCCAAAGAGTCCACTGTGGTACCAGGAACTACACCCCGTATACTGCAGCTTGCTGATTATTTGGACTAGAATTGGATATAATCTTTTATTTATTTATGTAGGTGGTTGGCTGGTTGACTGGGGGAAGTCGATAATGGATTATTTAGTTTAAAACAGCCTACAAAAATCCTAGCTTCATTCATCTAGTATTTACCCCTGGCTTTCAGGACTGATGAGCTGATGTTGAGAAATATTTAAAATACTGTACTGGATTTTTATGTCATATGCTTTCTTCTAAAAGAATGCTATAAATGAGTCAGTATAACTTTCTTAATATAAATGACTATTTCATATTGGCAGTGGAACATACACCAGCATTACACAGAAGACCTAGACTTCCTCCTGGCTCTTGGGGAAGAAGATGGTCCTCTGCTTGACAAATTAAGGGTCATCACTGAAGGATTCCTTTATTGGACACTCTTATACTGGTTTTACAGAAAGGTACCTAAACAGTCAGGAATCTTCCCTGCATTACACCAGAAAGCAAGGGCTCAGTAAGACAAAACAGAACCTGCAGTTAAATTTACAGAAGAAGCTTTAATCCACCAAAATATCTGAAACACTGCTTAGAATGTTTTCCTTGTCTGCCTACATGAAATAAATGTGTTGATCTACAAAGATTACATAAACACAAGCGTAATATATACTCCTCGTTATTGTACATATAATTGTAAAGAAGTCCACCTGCCATTTGTTTGTCTACAGTGGCAGTAAGTTCACAAAAAACAAACACCTTCCCTAATGGTTTATGGTTGACAATTTCCTGTTGTGCTATGAGCTCTGATAGATGAGAACTTCCAGTTCTTTTGTATTGTTTTTACTTATCAACTGCCTATTTATTAAAGGCCCTATAAGCTGAGCAATCTGTCTCATACTTTCTCTTTCCCTGCAGCTATTCTACTGAAGCACAAAGCTTATAGTTTAATATTTTCTGCAAGGAGAAAATGTTTTAACCCTATCCTGTGAAACTACATAGAATCCATGCAAATCAAGGAACTTAGAAATGAGACTCTACAGTCTACCAGCCCTATGAGACCATGGAAGATAGCTTGTACACAATGGAAAAGGTTAAAAAAAGAGTAAGAAAAGAAATTACCCCAATCTACTAACATTTCTCACTGTACTCTCCCATTTCTTACCTTCTTCAGGTATCTATAAACTTTTTTCAGGTTCTTAAGTGGTTGAGCTACCTCCTTATTTTTATCCTACAGGTAAGCAGCCCTTGTAAGTTACTTCTTAAAATGTCTTCTTTACATTGCTCCTACATAACCAAAGAAGAACATTCAAACTACTGACCAAAGTTTTTGTTTTGTCTCAGCTATGTTCAAATCATGACAGAGCATGTAAACAGTTTACAGCTTTACACAAAAAGCTCAATTCGAAGCTCAAAAGCAAACACCTAAAAAGGAGACAACTAAAACCTCATTTTCTTACAAATTTGACTTCTCTGCCTTCCCACCACAATGTCCCAGTCTTCCCACATCTCAGGTCCCAACTGCAGCTCCTTGGTTTCCCTCTGCATCTCCTGCTTCCTCCCCTCTCACCTAGACGAGGCAGCCAGCCGAACAGAACCCAGGAGGGTTGAGATCATCCTGCGCTTCTCCTCATCGGGGCATTAGCGGGGTCTTTGTTCTGCAGTTAGAGACCTCTGGTCTTGTTGAATTCACTTAAAATTGGCCAGTACAATCAGAAACTTACTACGGGCAAATGTCAGACAATTAATTGCATAAAGCTCTTTTTAGAAAACCAAAAGGAGGATAGCAAATGATTCACCTGAACATGCCTAGTTTAAAGAATACCTGGGCTCTATTTATCCTTCTGAGTTGCTACTCATTTGTCTCATTTGTTCTTTGGGAAAAAAAAGCTAGTTGCTAGCGTTGGGTTTTTAGAAGTAATTCCTCCTAAACTGCTGCTGTAAACGACATAATTTCCAGAGCAGAGGGTGCAGCACCATTTAAGCACAGTCTCAGAGAACAAGTCTTAGTCGGTGACTAGTACCATTTTCAGTGCCAAAGCTGGTTTCTGGGAAGTTATAACCTTAACTCTGAAGCTGTGAATGTCTTGTAAAAATGTCACAACTATTTTAAGAGATGCTCTCAAAGTATATGTGAGATGCCCGACTTGTTTTTCCCCACTGACTGCCACAAGAAGTACAAGACCAACAAATTCTGACATAATAGCTATTATTGACGGAGTATCCTGTATTAGCTGCGCAGCCTGCCTCCTAAGGAGAAGCATTTGTGGTTGCTACCAAAACCCCAGGCATGGTACTTACTACTAGACAATGCAAGACATCACACTATTCCTTTTTTAAAACTAAAAGATGCTTCTGCTCTAATACAACCTGTTATGAAAGATCCATGAGGGGGCTTTGCCCTTTAGCGTTGCCTTTTTGAATTCTCTACATGCTGCTTTGCAGTAGACACATAAAATAAATTACTGTTGTTTAAAGTGAAATACATTTTAAAGGGAAATGAAATGTCTCAATGATGTCAGGCAGATTACATGCAGTTTGATTTTAATCTCTCACTACAACCATCTAGTTGTAACTGGATGCGCAGAAAAGTATTTGACCAAACAGCAACAGCAGGATAATTTGGAGCTCTATTTGATCAGCAAGTGAAAGAAGCACAGATAGTCGGCCAGTTCACAAAACGCAAAGCTTACATGTATACCGAACTAGCCAGTCCGAGAGTACTTTATTGTTAAAGACTGAGCAATAGACACTTTCAGAGCAAAATTAATCTCACTCATTTTAGGTGTCTACTTTAGAATGAGGTAAGTTGTGCCTCAGAAGTACCTGCATCTCTACTCATTGTACAGGGAGCTCAGGGAACTCAAGGGTAGACACCTGCATGTGTTTCTGTGGATCTCGCCCCAAGTTTGTGGCCCTACGTGGCTACGTCTCTGAAAGGCTGAGATCTAACTCCGCTCACTTCAGATAAGGAATTTCAGACTGTAAGATCTTTGGATTCATGACACTTCGGTATCAAAACATCTTAAAATGACCTACTTACACTCTCATGTATATGTATTTAGCAGTGAATCGTTAAGGCTTGCCCTTCATAGAGACTATATTATCCAACTACAGCCTGCATGTGGATGATCACTAAGTGTACATGAGACTCAAGCCTTTACAGGAAAGAAAAAAAAAAAAAAAATCAAGTCAGGCAACAGATTAATCCCACTTCATACACGAGTCATGACTACTAGGAGAAGATCAAAAGAACGAACATGAAAAACAAGTCATGTACAGAATTAGCTTTCCTCGGCATTCCATCCTAGCTTCCAGAAACCAGGAGGTTAGGGACTTCCTGAACTGGAGGATGCACCTGGACCATTGTTTGACACCACGAGCATCCCTTAATTTGACTAAGCCACTTCTGAATCCTTTTATGTTTTTGGCCATGCCACAATATCCTGTGGCAATGAGTCCCACAACTTAATTATACATTGTGTGGAGGAAAAAAAAAACAACTTCCTTTTGTTTAGATTAAACCAGTTACTTGGTAATTCCGTAATATACCCTACTGCTCATATTATGAGAAATGGCAAAATCACTTTACTTTCTCTGAATCATTCTTGATTTTACATACATCCTTTCCAGTGATTCCTCTCCACTTCCTTCTCCTCAGTAATCTCTTTCCTATGAGCCTCTTTAGTCTTATTTTGCACAAAAATGTTGCATAAACTCTGATCATCATCAATACTCATTACTTTTGCAATCTTTTTTTTAGTCATACTGTATCCTTTGCAAAGTTGCAAAGTGAATGGAAGGATGTGTAAGCAAAACCAAGAGCCTTAGTCTACAACAGGATACAGTTTGCTGCTGCTTTTCAGTTTCTTCCTTTGTGCCTGCTTAAACACTCCATTTATCTTTTAGATGGTCACTAAAAAACCCACCAGATCAAGCTGATACATTCACAGAACTATCCACGCTGACTCCACGATCTCTCTCCGGAATTTAGCGCCTACTGTGGTGTACATACAGTTATTTTTTCAGCTACACTTTACCTCCTGTAGCAACAAATCAGTTTTGAAAGGCTGGTAAGGTACAGGAATGTATGCTGGGTAATTCTGATACAATCAAGAAACAGAAATTTTATCTGCTACACCACAGATATATTTTCAACTGAGTTCCAAAGATAAAATAAAACATGGAACAGCGTACTGGGAATACTGACAAACCACCTCTGAAAACACAACGCATGAGTAAGGGAATAATATTTTTTGAGAAAATGGATATATCACAAATAACGGTAAGCCAGAATGGAAACTTATTTCTAACATAACATAGTTTGTTGCTGTAACACCTACTCTCTACAACAGGCTTTCCTAGGGGTAACAACCTTCCCCCCAGTTTTTAAAGATAGCAACAACTCCTCATTATGAAGGCAAGTAACAAGTTGCACCAGAGGAGGTTTAGATTGGGTATTAGCAAAAATTTCTTCACTGAAAGGGTTCTTAAGCACTGGAGCAGGCTGCCCAGGGAAGTGGTTGAGTCCCCATCCCTGGAGGTATTTAAAAGTCGTGTAGACATGGCGTTTAGGGACATGGTTTAGTAGGACTTGGCAGCGTTAGGTTTAGAGTTGGACTCAATGATCTTAAGGGTGTTTTCCAACAGAAATGATTCTATGATTTTATATTGGCTAGAAGTAACTGTAATTGCGTGGTTTACTTTTTCCCAGTCAACATTGTATTTCAAGAAAGTTTCCATTGCCGATGTTCTGTTTTTTATGAACTAACCCAAAGATCATTTTCATTGGCAACTAACATCCACTAATGTTCTTGGCCACAGCAAAAAAACCTTTCAAATTCCTTCAGCAAGGGTACAGACAAAATCTTAATGAAATATGCATAGTAACATTAAAAAAAAAAAAAAAAAGGAGCATAAGTTTGGCATCTAATATATTATCACAGACCAAGTCAGGTGTGCCGATTTCCCAGCACAAACTTTATTAGAGTTCAGTTAAAAATACATAATCTCCAGACATTTGAGATGTAGTTCTGACTGATAAGGTAGCAGACAGGAAATGAAACCCCTCCCAAATGCTGCTCCTTATCTTGAAAAGCTCTGAAATTATTATTGAACTAATAAAGTAATTTTGTTTTTTTCAAAAATGATCTTCTTTGATAAAGGCAGTTACGAGATTATTACTTTTTGCTGGGTATGTACCATACTGATGAGCATGACAACTTTTAAGAGTCTCTACAACACACTCTGGTAGTGAATCTGTCAGCCTTTCTAAAAGGGAGGATACATGACCTGTTAAGCTAAAAGTTAGTAGCATCATACATTATTATTATTAAAATTATTAGCATTCATTATTTTGCCTTAATGTTTAGATATTAAAAGAAAATAAGAAGTGAAAAAACACAAGATAGCCCCATACTCAGGAAGCTTTCCAGTCCTACCATGTAATGTTTAATGACAACAGATTAATTCAAGCTCATTCTTGGGATCTGGAAAATGCGGGGTCAGTTCCTTAATGTAGAGGAAAAACACCAAATCCCACACTGACAGGGGAAGTGCTCCTGCCATTGAGGACAGCGGATCCACTGTCATCTGCATTAGCTATATTTAACGGAAAGCCTCTATTCAGAGCCACAGTGCCAGCTATGAGCTCAAGTGGAGGGATGCACCTCCTAAGAGCGCTAAGGACAGCAGCTAAGTGAGGAAAGAGGTGGGATTTAAGACATGTTCCTGTCCTTCTGTTTCCTTTAAGCCCTATAAGCTGCACTGAGGCAGTTTCATGTTGAGTCGATGCTAGGAAGGCCCTCAGCCCTTTCACACCCTGTGTAAAGGGAGCTCAGACCCCTTCAACAGCAGCATTCTGTAATGGAACCAGGCACACAGAGATTGGGAATTGCTAGCTTCAGGCGTTCTGTGACATAAAAGTAACAACTGCTAGTTTATTAAAAGAACATTTTTAAAAAAATGTTTTGATAATCGGAATCAGAACCTGCAAAGATTATTTGACACTTTATTAGCATTGCTGTTTTCAACCACACAAAAGAAAGAGCATTGCATGAAGCTCTAGAGCAGTAAGAACATTTCTGGAACACTTTCTGTTTCTAAATTGCAACTGATTTGAAATTTCAACTTCTTAACCGTGAAAATTCTAGACTATGGGTATATGTAAAGTATTTTCTGGGTTTTGTGGAAAAAAGTTAAATATGCATATGACGACATTATGATTGAATTATCACAAGTAATTCCAGATTGATAAAACCCAGTAAATTGTAACTATGTCCAGAAAGCTCCATCCATGTGGAGAGTTCATCTCCACAATTCTGAGTTTCTGTTCTCTACCCATAAACTATGAAGCCACCAGCTTTAAATCCTTCAAAAATTCCATTTTAGAAGTTGGGTTTCTGTGAGGTATCCAAACCAGCCTATATATCACGCCAGTTCTTGGATGCCCCCCATACTCACAGCAGAACATCCAGAAGTGTAATTTTTATAGTGTACAGCACCCTCTACTGGGGCAGGTAGAAAGCTAATACTTAAAAAAACGTAAAAAATTAAAGGACACTATAGAAAAGAACAGTACCAACATCATGCAATACAGTCATACATCACAGAGTATCAATAAACTCTGTGAGCACAGAAAACCTGTGGATTCCTTAACCTAATATTGCAAGCATTGCGAGTACTTCCGGAATTACAAGTAATTCTCATTATTTGCCTTTTTTTTTTTTTTTTTGCTTTAGAACTTTTTGGTTGTACCGCTTTGCTTTTGTTTACAGTGAGTGCGAACACCATAGATCAGTTATATCAAATTTGGGTGGAATGAGCTAAAGGATAAAATACACTTAACAACCACACTTTCAAGTTAATATCTGAGAAACGACTGTTGATTACTACTGTCTTTCTATTTGCAGACATATTCACCAGTGATAGCCAACAAATTTCTTTACAAGCTAGATACTGTTAACTCTTGCGAACAGGCTGCCACCAAGTGATAAACTTGGAGGAGCTGACAGAAAGTAACTAACAATCAAGTCATCACTTCCATGTAACTTGCACTAAAGAAAAACACAGATCATATTTCACACCCAAATCCAAAATGACGACACGTATCTTAGTGACAGTGCCATAATCTGATGCAGGCATTAAGGGCCGTGAACAAATAATGTGCAGAACGCAGGGCAAATTTCAGAAGAAAACTGGTGAACTGACCTCGTCATCAGAGTCATCTGCAAACACTGAGAGTTTCTTCGAAACAAGATTTTTCTGTGGCAATTTTTTTGGCATAATGAGCCCATATCTAGGGAAAAAATTAAAAGTTACCTTTAACGTTACTTACAACAAAACACATAGCATGTTCCAAAACAAAAATCTACCATTCACAATTTTAGGAAAAAAAATACATAACAAGTATAGAGCTGGGCAGCATTTGCAGCAGCGCACTCAGCCTTGCCACACGCCTGCCAGCTTCTCCCATAGCTACTGCTGTCTTTTTCCATGCAAATTTCCTGGATGCAATGATCTTCCTAAATTAGGCCACAAATCCCTCTTGTCTAGAGATCTCTAAGTGATTTTTTTCTCCCTCGGAATAAGAAATCACTATTGTTTAACCTCCAGAGATTTAGTCTTAGTCGACACCAGACACTATTCCGTAACTACCTTTGCAGGGGCAGTAAGAAGTTTATATTTTGCATGGCAACGTAAACGACCAATGCAGAGACAGGGCCACGGCAAGAGACAAGATTTACAGCCGGCTTGTGTCACGTAGAGATTACACACAGAGACCTCTTCTGCTGACACAGCCAACCCCTGTGCTCGGGAACACTGCCTACGTTCTTGGTAACGAGCGATCTCTAAATCAGGCATTTCTCCCCCACCTGCCTTTCCCCCAGTCCATCACTGAGTAAACAGCTCGTCACAGCGTGCAGCGGCCGAGCGCTCCACGGTGCCGTCGGTCCTACATCATCATCGTGACGAACCATTCGCTTCCCTGGGCGGCGAACGCGCCG